TATCAGTTATGACTTAGCTAGGAATTCCCACGGGTCACCAGTTGGCCTAATGACATCTCAGAAAGAAACTTAGTTTCCATCCAGACCCCATACCAGAGTAGGAGGTGGCTAGGCTGAGGCATGGCCTTGAGAGAGGGACCAGGACTAGAGGTTAACAATAGGGGAGCAGAATTCTTTGAGTATCAGTACCCACAATGGCCTCATCCCCACCAGAGCCCCTATGAACAGAGAAAGAACTTGCTGGGGCCTTCTCACTCTTTGGACAATTCTGGCCCCTGCAACAGCCGGTAGGCACCATACCAACAGAATGCTGTCCTCTCTGGGTGGGAGAAGGAACAAGCAGCCTAGAAAAGGACACGACTTTTTTGGTCTCTTGATAATCGATGAGGACACCCCCCACCCCCAGGAGGAAGCAGGACTGGAAGACCTACCGGGGAAGGAGGAAGGAGTCGGATGAAAGGTATTGAATCTGGGTGTCTCCTCCTTCTCCCCCCTCTGGAGGTGAATCACCCTTGAAGTAGAGATATTTTCCAATAATCTCCCGGAAACTTTCCCTTTATTAGCCCACCTGTAGGAAAATGTCAGACGTCAGATTGACTGGCTGTGTAAGACAGTGTTAACGCCGTGTCTGTGCCCCAGCCCCTCACCTTGCCAGGCTGGGCAAGCAGATCATTATATTATGATTTATAAATAGAAAATAAAATTATCGGGTGGGACTGGGGAAGAAGAGGCGAAATAGACTTTGTCAAGGAGTACCCACTATCCATCCCACCTACCTAGGACCTGGGAGCACCTCTTCCCTAGGAGGTTGCCCCTAAACTAGGCAGTCCCGCATCGCCTCCATTTTTCTCCCTATTCCTCCCTCCCTCCCGCCCAATCAACATCATTCGCTGCCCACAGCCCTAGATCTCAGCCCCCAGGCCCTGGTTCCGGCGGGTGCCTCGAGGTTACTAAGTCTAGAACGCTCAGCCCAGCAGCTCCTCCGCCAACCAGTAGAGGAACCTGGAGTACCAGTGCATGCCCGTCGGCTGGACCGCCCCTCCGGGAAGCAGCGCCCCCAGCGCGTGCAGCAGGCGCAAAGGAGCAAAGGCGCGGTGTGCCCACTGGTGACTCTCCAGCACCGCGTAGCACGAGGCGAGGACGTCGTTAACTAGCAGCGTCCCATGCGCGGTGAGCGGCGCGAACACGCC